TTTTTTTCTTCCTTGTAACCATTTTTAAAGGCTTTCTATAAATTAAATGCACTAATGCATTGTTGCATACTAATTCGGGTCGTTCACTTCTTCATGCCCATCCATCAACACGTAGAACTTACTCACAGCAACAACTCGTAAAAGACACCCTCCTTTTTCACACATTCCCCAGAGGGAGAGGGCGTCCTCTCGTAGTGCCCACTTCGTGAGAGGAAGCTTCAAACCGAGGGAGCTTATCCGCAACGAAGGATTGAAATATCCATATGCCTGTGCGAGCAGGATAAGCGGCACGTCCATGATAGAGCGTGGCTCGGAAATTTCTCTATCTGCGTCTGAAGCGCTGTTAAGAAGGCTAGCGCCGCGCACATATGCACAACTGCGGGACGAGAGAGACTACCCCGCATGGGGGTCACTCCCGTGCATCACCCAGCGACTAAGGAAGCGAGTCAGCCTGTCCACGCGCGCTGGGGGCTCCCCAGATGTACACAGGTACTTCTCCCCATCGTTCAGCGCCTCGACGGTGCGCACTTGGAGGAAGTTCGCATTGTATATAGTTCTAACAGGTCCAATGGTGGGGCCCAGCACTTTGGTAATTTCTCTCAGCAGAGATTTCCAATTGTGGACGTGTGGCTTCACTAGGAAGAGAAGCCCTTCGTGGTGTTCATCTCCGTTGCGAAAGAGCCAGATGGTTTTCGGCGGTGCGATTTGAATTCCATACTTCTGCACCCCCAGCGTGCCAGCAGTAACTACGCCTGTTTTGCACTTTATCTGCCTCTTCTTCTGCGTCTTCTTCTGCTTCTCAAAAATGGGCGGTGGGTTCTGTTCGGTTGGATCACCTCCCTCCGCTACTAGCTGGTTAAGCTTAACATTTTGACAAGTCCCTTTCTCGGCGGCCCTGCTCCTTAACGTGTCGAACTTCTGCTTATACATTCCTGTGTAAAAGTTCGCATCGGTCAATCGGTCAAACACGTTTTGGTGTCTTCTCCTCTGCTTCTCCTTGGGAATGCCTACCTCCAGGGAGAAATTCATTCTTGCACTTTCGACGAAGTGGGAGAAGTGCTTCTTCACAGACTGTAAGTCGCCATCAGTCCGGAAGTGGGGACTGCCACTCAACGCATCGGCATAGAGGTGCGTGCAATCCATTGGGGTGTCTACTCATCGGGGTGTCTACTGATTGGGCCGCCAGTGGAGGAGCTTAGGATTGTGGAGTCCCTACAAAGAGACGATTATATCACAAAACGGAATGCGCAACTTTCGGGTTGCCTCCACGTTGCGTTGCAACGTTTGCAATGTTCACGATTGTCACGAATGTTATGATTTTTTTTTTTTTTTTTTTTTTTCTTTATTTTTTTTTTTTTTTTTTTTTCTACCAGGTTGCTCAAACAGCCAAACCAACCGAGTGGACAATGAAAATGCCTTTTCAGCGAAAGGATGAAAGGGGACTTTCCCTTCATAACAAAATCTTTTTGTCAAAAAAGTATCTTCACGTAAATGTACGCACGGGCACACACATGCATGTAGGCATGTATGGACGTATGCACCTATGTAGGTACGTGTGTGTGGTCACACCGCGTTGGATTGTTTTCTTTTTTTTTTTCCTTTTTTCTTTTTTTCCGCGCACCTGTGCGTACACACAAAAAAAAGGTTAGCGGCGTGGGGGCTACCTTCAACGGGGGAATGACTAAACGGTGTAATAGGCAAGGAAATGCGCCCCCCAAATGGATGTTCCCATGTCAAAGCGCTAACAACTGTTGCAGAGAAAAGAAAAATGATGAGTTGTAGGAGGAGAAAATTCCTCAATCGGCTGGTCGACGGCCACACAAAATGGAGAGAGCGCAGAGGCCCACTTGTCATTGCCACCGCTAGGAAACGCAACGACATGGAAGAACGGAAAAAGGAAAGCAGAAAAAAGGTGGGGAAAATGCTCAAAAAGGAGGAAAAATGCTTAAAAAGGAGGAAGAAACGCAAAAAGGGAAAATTTTTTCAAAAAAGGGGAAATCTCTTCAAAAAAGGGGAGATTTCTTCCAAAAGGGGGAAATTTTTTCAAAAAGCTCCAAAATGATGAAACACACTGACGCAGTGCTACCATAGTGTAGACTCCTCTGGGGAGAAAACAAAAGGTGGCATGGCACATGGTATCGTCCATACATCACCCCCAAAAAAAAAGGAAAATAACAAAACGGATATTATGGCAACATACACACTTATGTGAACATACGTGCCACCGCAAGAGCGAATCGGTTGAGTAATGGTCCCTGTCACTTTCTACAAATGGGGAAGGGCGTATAGGAGTGACTCCACCCCGTCAGGCAGACTTCCAACAGAACTGAAATAACTCTTCCGACAAAAAAAAGAAGAAAAGAAGGAAAAAAAAAAAGGAAAAATCACATGGAAAGTCTCTTCCTCACTTTGAGCAGTTTCCGGCACAAATGGTAGTAGTAATAATTTTCCAAAATGTTGACCAAATAATATTCGTCTTCCCTTTGGATGTGTATGTCTTCCATCAAAAATAGAGCTCTGTCTTTTTCATTGGAAAGGAAATTCAATAACTCCTTCTCATTACATGTGTGCATTTCCTTCAGCTGGCAATACTTTCTGTTGTGGATCGTCTCGTACAACTTTTTTAAGTCCATTCCGTTTTCCGCGGTTGTTTTATTTTTTATTTTTTTTTCTTCATTTTGGGAATGTCTCCTCTTTTTTGTCGCATCTTCATCATCGGTTTCGCAATTCGGGGTTCGCTCCTCTTCGCCGTTCGTCTTCTTCCTTCGCTTCCGCCCTCGCTTGGCCGATTCGTCTCGCCCATCGCGCCTATCATGCCCATCTCGATTCGTCTTCACAGGATGGGCATCTCCCGAAACTCGGTCGGGGAACCCCCACAGCGCATTCGAGTTGCCCCTTTTTTCCTCCTCCCCGGTAGCAGTGCGGCCTGTATCAGCATAGGAGCCCCCCACGGACTGCTTCGATGTATCCGTCACTCCATTCGAATGAAAATATCCTACGCGCTTCTCTTCGAAACGGTTAAGCTGCCCATCGGATGAGCGCAAATCGGCCCCTTTCACATCATCAAGGAATTTAGGTGCCACATTCTCAGAGTGATCTTCCCCCGCATTACTACTGTCTCGAGGATGGCATCTTCTCCTGTCGATGGAATCTTCCTGAAGATGCCTCACCAGGGAGGAACCCCTACGTAGCATCTCCTCATCACCTCTAAGAGGTCTCCTCCTATTCAGATAAATCGCCAACAGGAGACCCAACTTTCTGGAGCACATCCACCCATACACACTCACATCAAAATAGTAGTTTTTCTTGTTCAGCTGATTAGGAACATACCGTGATATTTTCCACGCGTGTCTTTTATTGTCATACTGTAGATTGGCCACATTAACATCGAAGTAACTCTTAAGAAGGTTGTGTTCTGCGTTGAGGTAATCATACACGGCTATACATTTACCGATTATGTAGCCATACTTTTCTTCTGAATAATAGATTTTTTCTCTAATAAATCTGTTCTGTTCCTTTTTTACGATTTCAATGTTCCAGCTTTTTTTATGTTGGACCCACTTGACTTTGTTTTTCCATTGCTCTTCGCTCACTGGTTTTTTCAGAAGCTCGCAGCAGAACTGAATCAGCTGTCGGTGGTGTCGCTGTTCTTCAGATGCCACCAAGGTGCATGCGTCCTGCACGCGGGGGGCCCTCATCCGTTCGATACGATCGACGGCGTGGAGAGGAGCACCTGGTTCACCTCTTCCCGCTTCGCACTCCACCGACTCGCCCGAGGTCCCGGCGCTCCACGCGCATGACGCGCCGCCCTCCTCCGGACCACAGCTCAGCGCTTCCCTAACGTAGGTGTCATATTCAGAGACGCTATTCAAGATAGAATTCAGCCGCTCCCTTTTGTACTCCTCCGCCATCTGCCTGGCTTTCTCAAAACCGTACTCTTCGATTGGGAACCTCTTCCTGCACGTCCTTCCGTAGAGGACCCACGAGACTACCCAGCTTCCTGCCTTACACCGGGATGTGTCTTCCCCAAATTCGTGGCATTCATGGCCCCCCTCCCCACTTGCCTCATCACCGTAGCCCACGTCCAGGTACACTCTCTCCTGAACAGGGACATTCTTCCGCATTACCTTCAACACTTTCTGCTTCTTCTCCAGAAATAGTCTTTTCTTAAGCTCGTCCTGTAGTGACGTTCTCACCACAGTGGCGGCCGAGTCGGGGGTGTAATGGGCCTCCCCCAACTGGCTGCAACGGTTAGGGCAATTGTCTTCATCTTTTCCAGGGGTGGAATTGAGCTTCCTCGTAAGAGAGTTCCCTTTGGTGCTTCTCCCTTCCCCAATGATGGGATTCGCGCTCTTCAGCTTCTTCGCGCTGTCGATCCGGTCAACCCGATCAATCCGATGAGCCATGCTTAACTTTTCCTGCTTCTCTTGCCTTTCCCGCCTTCCCACTCTTCCCAGTTCTCCCATCTTCTCCAACTTCTTCATCCTTTTCCACCTCCTCAGCCTTTCCATGTTTTCCCATTTTTCCAACTTCTTCACTTTTCTTAAGTGAACTCTCTCCTCCTTCCTTCTTATCCTTTCCTCCTCTTTCTTTTTTTTTTTCTCCTCTCGCATTCTCTTCTTGTCCTCCTTCATTCGGATTTTCTTCTCCTTTTCTTCCTCTCTGCGTCGTTTCCTTTCCCTCCGCTCCAGTTCTTCCTTCAATTTATTTTCATGTCTTTTTCTTCGCAACTGTTCTTTCCGTTCCTCCTCATTTGTCTTTGGCACTTTCGCTGGGGGTTTCCTCGATGTCAGTCCTTCTTTTCCTTTCGAGTGCTTCGTTGGGGTGTCTTTCGTGTCGCCTGTGTCAGCGGTGCCTTCTTTCCCATGCCCGGAACGCCCCCCATCGTTTCCATCCCTCTTCGCCATATGTTCACCCTTTCTAAACTTCCTCTCCTCTTCCGACTTAAGAAATGGACCCTCACTTGATTGGCCAAATGGAATAACACTTCCCCGTTCGATATTCATACTTTTCACATTTCCACCTCCCCTATCATGTGCCATACTGCAAATCTCTTCATACTTAACACGGTTCCGATTATTGTGTGCCTCCCTTAGCTTCTTTCCCATTTTGGAGACAACTTCCCCGATGGATTCAACAGCGATGTCTGATTTATCGCGTTGAGGATCCTCCGCTCTCATCCCGCTCATTCTCCCATCCACTCCATCATTGTCCTTGCTTATAAAAAAGTATTTTTCTCCAAATTTTTTGTAAATCTTCCGTTTCATGAGATCCCACTTCTCACGGGTGAGATAGCCCACCCCAGTGGTCACTTCTCCATACAGGTTGTTAATACTCTGCAGATCGTTCAAAGCGACATGCCTAGATGCAGAACCCCCGACATCTATGCTGTAGCTTTTTATAATAGATACGCCTCCGTACTTCCAGAGGATGTTCCATGTATTGCTGATTTCGTCAAACACTAGCAGGCTTCTCATGGGAGGTGCTTCTTCCTCGTTCTTGTCTCTCGCGTGGGCGTGTTCCAACGATCCGTTCTTTTGTCCCCCCATGGATATGCAGTTTGTTCTTCTTACCAATCTGCCCCTTTTGCTCCTCCTGCCCTTTTCCACGTGTTCATTCTCCTTCCAGACGGGTGCGCCCCCGGGTTGGCATCTAGCTGATCCCATTACCACTGCACCCTTTTGGCTCTCTGCGTGGAGTTGCTCCCTCTTCACGTTACTTCTACCCCTACCATGTGGGACATTTGCAGCGGTTATCGCATCGCCCTGGATGAGATGCCCCCGGTGGTTCCCCTCTAACGGGTTTTTCCACTCGCCAACGGAACGGGACCCCCCTCGCATGAGCCTCTTCCCATTTTCATTTCGCTGCTGTATGATTCTTCTCTTCGTCTCAGTTGACGTCGAGGAGTAGTTATGCACATTTTTCTTTTTCTCCAGACGGTTTTCTCCCTCCTCAGCGTTTTCGCAAGGGTGGGAAATCGCCCTGGTTCGTGAATTTCCGCTGGTGCCGTTACCAGGGCTGCTATTCGTGGTGCTATCTGGAAGAGGAAGACAATCTATTCCGTCGACAGTCGATTTTGATTCATACGCGGGAGGGATTTTTCCCTTTCCCTTTGTCTCTCCTTCTTCGTTCCCTCTTCCTCTTCGAGGAGGAAGTTCCTCCACAGGGGAGGGAACATCACACTTGGGATCTTCTCCCTTCCAGGAACGAGGACGATAAATGTTCTGATCCGCCCCACTCTCTCCATTCGGTGAATACTTAACACCTCTGTTGGGAGGATCTCCATTTAGGGGTTTCACCAATCGGGAGTTACCACCCTTTGTGAGGATATTTTTGTTCACAGAGCAGTGAGAATGACAATCAGGTGCTTCCTCGGCGTTCTCTACGTCTTCGCTACGTGGGTGCTTTGTTGAAGGTGCCCCCTTTCTTCCTTCTCCCCAACGGGGATTGTTCCCTCGTGTTGGACTTGTCTCCTTTTCGACGTCGCTCTCACCAGTGTGCACCCATTCCTTGGTGTTCCGTGAGCGATGGACATATTCATCACTACCCACGGGGGTATCTTCTCCGGTGTTACTAAAAACACACGAATTGTCCATCCTTCCCCTGTGGGTTCCGTTACTAAGTGGGCCATTTGCATAACGGGTATGGAAGAAGTTCCTCCCCAATGGGGAGGAAACCGCCTCAGGTTTTTCACACCCGCTGATATGGCCGCTAATATCGTCCGTATTGTAACCACCGGATGGATTCTCGTGGTAGCCCCCATTGGCGTTAGTAACCGGAGCAATTTCACCCTTGTGAATGGCCACGATTTTCATGTTCCACTCTTTATCGAGGATATCACTTGTGTCTACCTTTTATGAGAGAGGAGAAAAAAAGCATCTTACTTTTTTTTTCTTTTTTCTTCCTCCCCTTCTTATCGTGAGGGTCTTTACCCTATAGGCGGCTAACATGCTCGACACATTTGGTGTGTCTGCCTTTCCGCATACAAATCGTCACGAGTTACATAGGGGAGGCATTCTACTTGTGCTACCCTTCCCATGTAACTCGTGACGATTTAACAGTTCTGTTTCATTATCGTCATTGTGCAGGGTGTTCTGCAAAAAAAGGGGTGCACCTGAGCGTGTTTCGCAGCTTTGGATTGTTCCTAGGGGTTCCTATTTTTCTGTTTAACTGCGCCACACCTGGTAAGTCACCCCCCTGTGTGTATCTCAAGTGAATATACTTTGTGCATCCGGGGCCTGTCCGCCTGCACACCCGCTAGCCCAGTTTTATATGCACAAAGGAAGGGAACAACTTTTTTTTTTTTTTTTTTTTTT